TCATCAGAAGAGTGAGTTCTCTTAATAGGAATAAATTCCTCCAAAACAGGCCCTTCACTCGATGTCTGCTCAGAGCATTCCGATTGTCCGTGCATATTATGATCCTCAGTTGTCCCTGATAACTCCCGCTTACATGCCTCGATCGCTACAGAAAACATACAAACTTCAAATTTCCAATCTTTCTCTAACCCACAAGAAATTTTCAAGAGAAATTGAGTTAAAAGAAGCACAAACCTTGAGTAACAAGCTCTAGACACAAGGGAAGCTCGCGTTCAAACACTTGAATCTTGCGTCTTTCTTCTTCTAATGCTTCTACATATTCATGACACCGTTGCATTTTCTCTGCAAAATCCATTATTTTTAATCTGTTCAAATATCTATCTATCCAGTCTTGGGAAAAGGCAGTTCCTTTTTTTCTTCCCGTTATTATTCCTGTAAAGGTTGATGATGATGGAGGTAGTGGGGTAGATAGATTATAAGTAGATGTACAGGTGGGCTGATCTGGTTACAGAGCATAGATAGATCGGAAAAAAACAAGAAGAAAGGGAGAGAAGAACACTGAGACAAGAATATGGGATCTAAGTAGAATCACAAAATGGAATCAAAATGACAGCCAAGAAAAAGAAAAATACACTCCTTTTTATACACACACACACATGGACACGCAGTAGAGCTAGTTTCTAGCGAGAGAAAGAAGGGTAATACTGGCATCGAGACTAACAGAGAAACATTGGTGGATGATTAAGATAAATAACACGGGATTAGCTAGGTTGTTGTTAGGAATTAAGGTTGCAATAAGAGAAGGAGGGGAGGGGGAAAATGTTACGAAGTTAGGGAGATCGAGGTCGGGGCGTCGCGTACAGAACGAATCTTGGATATGCGATGTATAAATATATTTATTTTCCTTGTTTAGAGAGAGAAATTAAGATAAGGAGAGGGAGGGAAAGAGGGAGGGGTTGAATATTCGAGGGTGCGATTCCGTTTTCGTCTCCATTGCTGGCAATTATGTCAGCTTTTTTGTCCTTTCTATATTTCCTGATAAGATCAAAACGGACCTGTCTTTTCCTTCTCTGTCCCATTTTCTTCCTAAATTGGCTCTTCCATGAAATATACCTATATCGTAGTTTTTGCGTATGTATAACAGTATAAGATTATAGTTAGGAAAAATCCTTTTTTTTTTTTTTTACAATTCAACCACTGAATATGCAAGAAAAATGGATATTTTTTACAATTGGCTCTTCCATGAAATAAGATCTTTTTTTTTTGTTGATAAAATGCAAGAAAAATTTTCAGGAAGAAAAATGGAGTGGATGTTAAGTCAAGGCAAAAGATAATAAAAGAGCTGTACGAGTGTTTATAAGTACAGGAGATATTATATTTCAAAATATTTTTCATTTAAAATATTGATATGGATATTTTATTTTCATTTAAACGAGGAAGAGTTGTTGATATTCTCTGGCATCAATGGAATATACCAAGGAAGGAGGTGTTGTTGAGGAAGAAACGAGAATCCTGCGAGCAGAACCTGAGCGGGCGTGCGTACACACTGACGATGCCGCGTCTGATTAGGCCTGTGGACATTTTAGGCGATCCTTCTCACTGATGCGGCTTTTCACGCTCTGTCAGGGCCAGTCTTCTCCTGCTTCACCCTTTCCTCGTTTTTCTGCTTTTCATAGACCATTATCTTCCCGAACCGCTCCTCCAGCGCGTGCTTAAGCACCCGCCTGGGATGGCACGTTCCTGTCCTGCGACTACACGGTTGCTTTTCCGTGTAATCGTGTTGTGTGGTGGTCGTATAGCAGGGTGGGGTTTATGCTATCCTTGTGACTAAATAAATTAATTAAACACTGATAATTATGGTGATATAATTATCTCTAAACCTCTAATGCAGCCCTTTTACCTTTGTTGTGGAGGGTAAGCTGTCTTCTCATTGTCGGTCCAAGTTTGGTGCGTAAATTAACAATTTATCATTACCCGATTCCAAGTCATGGAACGACACTGATTGCTCATCGAAAGGCCTCAGATCTCTGCCAATACAAGATTTGGGAGCCCACCTCTTGAAGGGATGCGCGATGCATTGGGCCCTTTGGTAGCTAGTCCTTATGAAAAGCCCATAATCATTTTCCTGTCGCAAGCACGTCCATAAAAGCCCTTTTTTTCCCTCGACTTTGAAAGAATGGGTGAACTCCGGTTTGGAATTGTAATACGAATGACAGTTTAAATTTAAAGTGTTTTTTTTAGAAATGTTTTAAAATTATTTTTTTATTTTTAAAAAATTATTTTAAATATTAGTATACCAAACTAATATAAAAAAAATTAGGAAAAAAAATTAAACTTTGAGCTGAAGTAGTAATATTTTCAAAGAAATAACAAGGGAGTCCACTTCGGGGGCTGAGGTTCTTTTTGGGTGCCTGATATTGCCAGCATTGAGTTTGTTGGCCTCTGTATCTCCACTCTTTATTTATCAACACGCCACGTCACGCCATACCATAACAATAAATAAATAAACAAATATATTTGAAATTATTTTTTTAAATATATCAAGGCTTTTTTAGAAAGTTTTCATGATTCAGAATTAATAAAAAACACCTGAAGATGTATTAATTAAAAATACTTGATATATTTTCAGTTAACAAATATTCTTATAAGACTATTTATACCAGACACGCATTATAGGAGAATCAGCGCGGTTTTCAAATCTTATTACAGAGTGTTTGTTCTGTGTTAACTTTTGTATTTTTTGTCAAACTTAATAACATAATGTTTTACTATTTTTAGTAGTTGTGTTTTGGTCATAGAACCTACAAAAAATTGATGTTTCACCTGCGGTTTTACGCAAATAACTTTTTCATGCTTCCAACTACATTTTTCTAAAATGCAGAGCTGCACTCTTCATTGTTCACATAAGTAAACAGTGGAGTGCAGCTCTTCACTGTTTATTTATATGAATAGTAGAGTGTTTTTTATTAAACCGGGTTTGGTTCAAAGTAATGTATTAAACTAGGTTTGACCTAGTAAAAAAATAATTTTTTTTAATTATATTTTATTTAAAAAATTAAAAAGAGATTGTTTGATAACATAGCATTTGTAAAATTTAATCGTAATTCAAATTTTGTTCTTGCCGGGTCCAATTCAGTTAAAAAATTCAATTTTTATTTTTATTTTTAATTATATTTTATTTTAAAAATTTTAAAAAAAATTGTTTGATAATATAACATTTGTAAAATTTGATCACAATTTCAGATCTATTTTTGATGATATTTTACTTGATGTTGTTACGCGGTTAAAAAACCATGGAAAATATAGTTTTTATTGGATATATTTCATATATGATGAAATTATACATAATTTAATAAAATAATAAAAAATATTTGATATCCATATTATTTATTTCATGATATAATAATATTAGTTAAATTTACAGTGTGTATATATATATACATTATAATCTTGATTTAAAAAGTATTATTTTAATCAAATATATTAAATAACTTTTTATTCAATCTTAATTTTAATTATAATTTTAATTAAATATATATTTTTTAAAACCAATCTTAACTAAAAAAAATTTATAATTTTTTTTTTTAAATTATAATCATAACAATTACTAGTACCGTATCAAACATAATAATTCCACGCATTAGCACCGCGCGCAAAAATTAATTCTTACCAAATCTTCTCGTAGACCAAAGTCAAGAGAAATTCAGATATAATAGTCAGTTGAAAAAACCAATCATGACCAAATTCTTTATGCTATAATTAAAGAGGAGAAGTGAGGGGCAGAGATGGGAGTAACCTCTGCAGCACTGTGCAAGCGACTCGTCAAGAGGGCGGTTATGAAGGCTCACAGGGGCTTCATGACCTTTTTTCAAGTTTTCCTCTCTCGTACAATACGAATATTTGGCAATCTTACTTGCATCTTTCCTACAGTTATTTTACAAGCACACCAAATACGACAAAGCATGGCCATGACTGAGCTACAGTCTTCTCTCTTAATCCCCTACGCACGCATCCTGATATTTGTCATTTATAATACATGCATTTATAGGTATCAAGCACTTCTATGTAGTTGTATTTTTGGTCCTTCAAGCTAATATTTGCTCGTTGAACATGTATTACCCTACGTCTCGATCAACGTCGCTTTAAACGACAAAAGTGGTGGTGGCGAGGGAGAGAGAGTCACGCCTTCCGTTCTACGGTTAACATTGCTCCATGTCTACGTACTGAAAATCATTATCATGCACTCTTACTTTTGCTGGGAGAAGGAGAGGACAGATATAATGTTTATGCACCCCAGAAGAAAAGGCAGAGAGAAGTTGGTGAAAAGATCAGGAGCTCGGAAATCGAGCATATTGGAGCAGAGAGAGAGAGAGAGAGATCTTAGCATAGTGTTGGCACGCTATTCAATGCATCTTTAATCTTCAATACCTCTCCTCCTCTGCCGGTTGTCTGTCTCCTTCGTTCCCAAACACGCCAAGACCAGGAGAAGTGTCAATTTCCTCGGCTACATGCGGTGCTCTTCTAAAACCTTGTTCTTGTTTTTCGTTTTCTAGGATTGGTCTTTTAAAACTTCAGAATTATTATTACACGAGCCATTAGGCATCATTATATTTTGTTTTAGAGCATTTAGAAGAATAAATCCTTTTGAATTTTAATCTTGGAATTTCAACACAAGAAATAAAAAAAAACCCTTCTTAACCATCAAATCCAAGTATTAAATCAAAATTAATAATCTATTTCTAAAACCATATGTACAATGCCATTTGGAGAAAAAAAGCATGGTATTATCTTTAACCTCTTCAACAAATAATTACCATCATAACTTTTACTATAATGAGTTCCAAAGAACAAACTAAACAACAGATGAATTAGTATTGCTACAATAATATATATAAATTTATATAAACTCAATTCATATATACGAGATAAAACAACCATATTAATTTTAAATATTTAGCCATTCAAACTATTTTAATTTGCACCAACATTGTATATATATGGAATAAACCAACCATAATTTTAAACATCTCAATTAGCCGTTCAAACATAACAGCGTCAAATAATCACGTTATTAAAGTGTCTACTTCCTAGCTAATGGTTCTCAATGATCCCGGACAGAATTTTTCATTACAAAATCCAAGTCATTAACTGTGAATTCCAATATCTTCCTACCAGGACACCATTGAAGATGCGGGTCATGGGTTCCAAACGATCCAATAATTTCGATGATGCGATTTGGATCAAAACTTTTGGTGGGCTCCAATACGATTTTTAGATTTTTTCCATGGATGCTCTTGCACACCAAATTATGCTGCGCTTTACTTGTAAATGGGCTGCTCAGGACTACAATTCCTGGAACTTCTCGTCGATCTGTTGCCATTCCTCAACCACGGAAGCGGTGAAGCTGAGAGCCATGAGAAAGAAGTAGAGTCACCACGAAGACTGCATCAACAAAATTTAGTTAGCCTCTCAAGAACTGAAGGGCTGGCTTTATATTTAAGCCACATTATCAATCTTTTGAGCAATATTGCTTCCTTTACGGTGGTCTCTAAAGATGGATACCTGGATTCACTTGGTCCACAATCCATACTGAAGGTGGAGCAAAGAATGCAACTGGTCTCAAGTTTTTGCAAAAAATAACTCAAAAAGGAAAGTTAAACGCTTATTTTGCATGATTGAATTAGGAAATAGAACAAATAAACGTTACCAATTAGCAGTAGCTCGAATGGTTTTGCAGAAGGTTACAGGTGACGTTCTAAATACAACTTCTCTGCACCTGGATTGGGTCTCCATTTTCACTTGCTTTTCCTCACATAGCAATATATGGAAGATGCACAAAACAAAGGCACTCTTAACGCCAAGTTTCAGCCCGAGCTCAGCCAAAATCAAAGACTGGGAAGTGAAAAGAATGCTGGCAGCAAGATCTGTCCCTGTGATATCCATGTTAAACCATCTGGAGTGAGAAAGCCTAAATATCCCCCCCCCCCCCCCCCCCCCCCCCCCCCCTCTTCATCATGGATGCAGAAGAACAGCAAAAAACCACAATTCACCAGCAGAACAAGATTTGCAAGTTTAATCTCAACCCACATCACATTTGGTGCTCCCTTTCCCAACTTCAGTTAGAGCTTGGATTCACCTGGTCCACATATATTGCTCTGAAGATGGATATAATTAACAATTGGCATTCCCGGTTGCAGTTCTCATTCTTTTGATGGATTCATTCCTCGGCCAGCAATGTAAATGTTTTTGGAAAACGAGAAACTTCTAACTATAACTTTCATTTTCTTCATTGCTTGATCTAGTTTAGAGGCTTCCGAACAGATGTAGTACTATTAAGCTTCTTAAGATAGACAATCACAACCTTCACAAATTTCTCCATAATAGTTTTATTTTAATCCAGTGACGTACCAATCATTCATTGTTTAATCCAGATTCAATCATAAAAGATCATATTTAAAGAATGGGTTCAAAACCTAATGGGCCCTAGGGTATCTTGGATAATCAAACTTAATCGGTGTGATCTTGCCTCGTTCGCTCTAGATCAAATTGAAGACCCGTTCTGAATTTACCCTCTTCGGGATTATAAGCAGGATCATAAAACCCTTCAACCAATGCATCAGATGCGCACACCACAGGCACGAACCTTCGTGCTAACTCTTCACCCCCTGGAAAAAATAACTATTAACCGAAATCTCCATTCTATTTTCTTCCAAAGAATCCCCGAAACAATCATGCAAAGGGGTGTTTTCCACCACCTTCACCACATGTCTATGTCCATTATAATATTATATCATGATTAATGTGCTTCACTCTTTGGGATTTCACACACTTCCTTGAAACCTATTTTTCAATGTCTTGATAAGGAGAACCTCCACATGCAACATCTAGAACTTGGAACGCTCTGCAAAATCCCGAGGTGTGTTTATTTCAAGGCAAAATTTTGGAATGTTTATCTATCAACAATTGCATCTAATCTAGAGCCTCTCAAGAATAGAACACAGAAGAAAGCCCCCAACATGGTATAAGGCTTGGAATCCCAATAAGAACATAAACCTGCAAAGCAAACACTTCTATTGTACATGAAAAGCACACAGGCTCTAACCAATGTCCACACGCAATCAAGAAAAGATCAAATGCAAACAAACATGCTTGACATTTGACATGAAGATACTTTTCTTTTTCTTTTTTTCCAAAGCCAAAACCAACACAGAGGACAACAACAACAACAACAAAGCTTAGAAAAAGAGATCAAAAGCAACAGAAGAGATCAAAAGCAATAGAAGAAGGTCAACAAAGCAAAATCACAACCCGAATAGCAAGTAACAAACCAAAAAGAGACTGAAAAAACAGTCCGGATAAATCTAGAAAGGCAACTAACAAACCTAGAGAGGACAACCTCACAGACAACCAGCCAAGGCCAACAATCCTTCCCAAGCCAAAACCCAAAGCCCTGAGAGAATGAAATCATAAAAGAACAAAGCATCAACAAATCCAAAATGAAACAAATAACAAACAAAACAAAAAAGCCAGTGAAAGCAATGCAAAAGTGAAGACTGGAAATGTAAGAAATTAATCACCATAGTAGAACAACGCGGAACATAGAAAGAAGAGAAATAGAGAGGCTCGATAGTTATCTATAAGAGTATAATCCCTAAGAAACAAAACAGTTATATGGTCCCTCGCAAACCCATGCCGATCCAATCCCAAAAAAGAGGAAAACAACAATCAAACCCTCCTACCACAAGTCCCCCAATCAACCACACAAACAATTGACATGAAAAGCATAGAAACTACCAATGTAGACAGGAGATTAATAAGCCAAGCCAACTAAACCAGAAAAGAAACAGAGGCTTATCCGGCAACATTGCAACGAAACCAGAGCAGGGAACAGAGAGAAGAGGCAGCAGCAAACCAAAGAATCTCGCCAGAACAAACAGAACGTCAAATCCAACCAAAAAAAATTTCCACCCTCCCAACGCACAGTGGAAGGCAAAGGACATGGCAAATGGGTGCGCATTTAATGCATAATCATGACACACCCACTAGCTGTAGAAGAAAGAGACCAACAGCACCACAGTCACTGCAAATAAGGAGAGAACAACTACCCATCTCTAGAGCCTTGCCAAGTTTATCGCGAGATTAAGCAAAATTTTTAGGAAACACATCGCTTAAATCCACAGTGAAAGTAGTCTAGATCCACAGTGTTTTCCTGATCGCTCTCTCTCTCTCTCTCCCTCTCCCTCTTAGTTGCTCGTTAATGCACAGTTGCACCTTACAAGCGGGGCAATCTTTCACTGGATCCTAAACTATTACTATAATTTGTTTGCCAAGTCACGTGGTAATTTGTGATCTGTTCTTCGTTGGTTATAGTGTTTCCTAAATGTGATGATTGCATTTTTCATATGCCAAATCTTCACCTTTTCTTAATCGAGTTTAATTTTTGGTTTTAAGCTAAAAACAAATAAAATTAAGATATTCTACGAACTTGATGAATGAAATTGAATCTTACATGCCTCCTATTATTAAAGGAATTGAGAAAAACAGAGTGCAGAGAAAAGTTAGAATAATATTGAAAGTTTGACTGAACTAATTAAAACAAACTAAAAATCTCAAATAAAATAAGACAATACATAAACTTCATGAGACCATATTAAAATCTATCCAAAAATTTATCTCCAACATTACTTGTGAGATTATCAGATCGTGCAGTATCACATGCATGCATCCAACACTTGTAATTTAAACCTTATGGAGTGATTTTCAATTTCTTTCTTCTATTTCTTTTGTATAAAATAAATGAATAACTACTGAGATATTATTAATTATAGATTGAGTAACATAAAAAAATTATTATAATATTCCCTTTTTCTAATTTTTTCAGCACATAAAACCTTGAAGTAAAACGGTTCCTTGCAAATCGACAGAATAAAAAACCCAAAATACCCACCTCATTGCTTTCTATATTTGCCTTTCTTGTTCCAGCTAATCCTCGCAACACAGAGCAAATATCTCTCTCTCTCTCGCACCCCCTCCCTCATCTAATAACCATCATATCGCCATGCAAGCTCCCTCCTTCGCCTACATATCCTCTATTGAAAGTGCCTATATAGAAGCTGATGACCAAGGAGATGAGGAGTCCCTCTTTCTTTCTCTTAGCCCTCCTGGACAACAACACATTACTAGACACCCAAATCATCGCCGTTCTTCAATCCATCCTAGGAATATTCAAGAAAACCCTAGTAATTTTGAAAGTGGTGTAACAATAGCTCTCCATATTGGTCCTCCAACAGCCGGAGCAAGGACCAGCAACCGCCCAGATAATCACATTGGCTCTCTAGTTGAAGGACAGTACTGGATTCCTTCCCCAGCTCAAATCCTTGTCGGCCCGACACAGTTCACTTGCTCTGTCTGCAATAAAACATTCAATAGATACAACAACATGCAGGTTTAATTCGTTATGATATGTTGACATGTTTCTCATTTATTGATTTAGTATCACATGCTTGCATATATAGGTATATGTAGCTATAAATATATATTATACCTTCCTCCTGTTGCAATTTCTTTTTTCTGTTTTGTTGGGTCAATTTTTATTTTGTTTTATTTTATTTTTTATGATTGCATTTTGTTCTCATTTTGCTTCATTTCTACTACTTAATTTGCATTGTAATATATCAGATGCATATGTGGGGGCATGGATCACAATATCGAAAGGGACCCGATTCACTAAAAGGACCAAAACAAGCTTCTTCTACGCTAAGACTGCCATGTTATTGCTGCGCTGAAGGATGCAAGAACAACATAGAGCACCCAAGATCAAGGCCGTTGAAGGACTTCAAGACTCTACAAACACATTACAAAAGAAAGCATGGTGCAAAACCATTTGGATGCCGAAAATGTGGCAAACCTTTTGCAGTTAGAGGTGACTGGAGGACACATGAGAAGAATTGTGGTAAGCTTTGGTTCTGCATATGCGGTTCTGATTTTAAGCATAAGAGGTCCCTTAAAGACCATGTGCGTGCTTTTGGTGATGGCCATGCTGCGCATACCGTGGACATGTGTCATGATATTGATGAAGAAGAAGATCAAGAGGACGATATTAATAATATGGAAGATTAACACTATGATAATAGTAGATTAGCTGACAGTGAAGGTCTATATATATCTAGAATTATTTGGAGTTTTTTTTTTTGGTAAGAATTTCCATAATTTGCCAGTCATGACTATTTTGGTGTATTGCCCATCCGTGGGAGAGCAAGAGTGGGAGAGAGAGAGGATGAGGACAAACAGTACATTGAAAGCTAGGTAGGCAGCATTTAATGTTAAAAGCGTTAGCTCGATTGTCTTATTAAAGAAGCCCCTTTTTTTTACAACTTTTTTCATGCGAATAAAATAGAGAGAGAGAGAGAGGTAATCAGTCGTGGTCTGGCCAGAATCATCAAAGGTAGTCAAGTGAGTAAATTCAGTGGTGAGTGCAGATAAGAGCAGACATGCAGACATCTACAGTAGTCACATATTCTACTATTCACAGCTTGGCATTTGCCACAGATATTGCGTACCCTCTCTTTCTCTTCTCTGTCACATATTCACACAACGCAGAGAGAAAGAGAGTGATATCCCATATGGGTTCAGTCCCTCCGAGCTTCGACTACCACTACAAACACTTTGATCGAGCCTCTTTTGTCAGTGAGAGAGACTGAGAGAGAGAGAGTAACGAGGGACCACTGAGTTTTGCTGTTTTTGGGGTTTCACCCGAAGAGGTACCTTTTTTCCTTTTCAGATGAACTACAAACAGATCACCACGACGCATTTTTCAGGCCTCTGTTCTTGCCGCTTTTAACCCTAATAATGTGTCCATGCATGCCCTAGCTGCCTAGGCTTTTAGCACTATTCATCATAATCAGTTTTTTTTGTCTGGACTTGTTATCCCTTTCTTTATGTTTTAATTATTCCCTTGTGTTTTGTCTCAAATCTTACATCCATGCATGCATGGGTTACTATGTGTGTATATATATTCTCTTTGAATTTTTTTAAATTAATATTTTTTTAAAATATTATTTTAATATATTAAAAAAATACTTTAAAAATCAATACATATTATCAAACATCCTGTAAAAATACTAGACTATTTATAATTTGATTTTGGTAACTCCACTTTTTAAAACAAAATATAACTCCTCATCAATTGACAGCAAGGTTCCCTCCATATCTTAACAAAAATATGAACACGTGCAAGTAAGGTTTTAGCCCAGCGGTGGGAGGGGCTTGTCCCCTTTCTCTGCACCTGGGTTTGAGCCTTACCATGCACACATGTTACCCCCGCGGTGTCTTATCTGTTCATTGGACTTACAGGATGTTCAGTGGGTCATGGGGATTAGTCGTAGTGCGCATAAGCTGGTCTGGACACCCCACGTAAATAAAAAAAATAAAATATGAACACGCATGACACATATTTATAAGAAATAACGACCCTCATTTTAATTCTTCTTCTTCGATTTATACATATTATCATATTTTTTTTTTACGGTAAAGTCTATATTGATCCATGCATTGCATAGTTTCTATAGATTAAAATAGATAAATACCATGTCAATAAAATATCATAGACCAGACTATTAAATATAAATGAAAAAAAAACATTAATCTGCATTTATATATATATATATGTCAAAAAAAACTTTAAAATTTAAGTAATCACATGAGCAAAAGATTTAAAAATGATTTTATCTCAACTTTAACACTTATTTAAATATAAATTTTTTGAGCTTAAAATTTTGTATAAACCCATCATTAAACTTAAATTGAAAGTAAAAAATAATCTCAATAAAAAAACTTAAGCTTTAGAAGGAGGCTCAAAGTAATTTTATATTAACTCTAACAATACATGAGTAAATCTCTTTTGTGTCCATCACTCCACATGTAAAGTCCACTTTATAGATTTTTTGCATGAATACAATCCATATTTATCAAAATGAATTAGAAAGAGCAGATTACAGACACCATTAATAATCAAGAGAAAGCCAATGAAGAAATTGGCTACGGAGCTATAGGAAAACCAAACCCTGACAACAGCCTTGAGAAAAGAGAAAATCCCATTAATAAAAAAAGAAATTGGCGTCACCCGAAGTCAGCAGCAAAATACTCACTTCAATACAGTAACAGTGACTAAATTGCTGAGACCATCTCGCAAGCCGGTAAAACCCACGATCCAGGAATCATCATAACAATACAGGCTTGACTGGAAGACAGTAGAACACGAGCATCCCTAGGAGAATTATCTGCAATACATATCAGACAAACTCCATGTTATGAATATCTATTAAATAATATTTTCAAGAGATCCTGACATTACATAATAGCAATTAATGCATGGATGTGGCCATATCATTCTGGTTTCAGGTATTAAAAAACGTATCCAATTCATTGAAAGCTGAACTTTGAGCAATAAGGCTTGAGGTACTTGTCTTCAATTATAGTGTAGGTGAGAGCGAAATTTCCTACAACAATTGTAGTTTCGATGGTGAATTTGCGATTGGATTGTTTTCCTTTCTTTAAGTTTTTTTTTTTAAAATCAACTGTGACCGCAGGCCCGGGGAATCCTTGGGACACATGCAAGTCGCGTTGGATAAAACTTTTAACATATCCATTGGTTGACATTTCGACCAGGAAAAGGCTGGGGACAAAAATCAGACTTCAAAAATAAGGTTAGAGACCAGGTTTTTTTTTTTTACACAGAAAATAGGTTAGTTTTTACTGATTAGCCTTTCTGTAAAGACTGAACTTTCCTTGAATCCGAACAACATGACATGACATATCATGCTAGGTAAATTTAGACTATATATTGGTTTGTATTTAAATGATTCAATTCGGAATATACTTTACATACTTGCAGGCTACCAGGCTCTCTCTCTTTCTATATATATATATAGAAAGAGTTGCATGTGATGGACAGATCGATGTAGCCCTGCTTCAACCCAGCTATGGGTGTCATACGGGTGGTAAACATATATAGCTTAGCTGAGATGCCGATCGGCCGAGATTCATAGGGAACCCGAGCACTAATTTGGTTGCATCTATCCGTGAATCTTCCTAGGAAAGTTTTACTGAGTAAAAAATGTATCTATAGTAAAAAATGATCCTTATGAAATCATCTATCTATAGACAGCATTTTGAGAACCGTTCTCAACGTCTCATAGGATACTACTGTTGGGTTTTATGTTTTTTATTCTGTTTTTTTTTTTTAACACTATAGTTGGGTTTTATCGTTCTCAACGTCGTAGGAACCTCTCTTTTCTATTTTTCTTTTTGTTTTCTTTCATATCATTTGTAACAGGAACATTTTATTTTCCTGCCATTTAATTTTTCAAGATCATCTTTTAAATGCTCACTTTTTAATTAATAGATGTAATGTTTATATAACAAAAAAAAAAACATTAATATATTTTTAAAAATAATTGTGCTCAAATTTTTTTTTTTTTTTAAGATTCAAGTAATGATGTCAACTTAATAATAAATGGATGAGATTTACATCTATACTAAATATCTTATAGGTATAGCTTGCTTCCAGATCTAATGTTAATGGGCGTAGTTAAGAGAATAGCTCAAATGAGTATGAGATTGGCGAGTTACCAAATCTAATATTTTTGGATTTAGTTACATACTAAACCCAAACAAATATAGATCTAATGAGCTACTAGACTCAATATTTTTGAATTCACATATACACTAAGCACAAGCAAGCATGAGTTTAACGATGTTTTTTAGTATAGCTATATGTTAAGCATAAGAAAACATGAATTTAACGAGTTGTTAAGCCTACCACTCGTGGGCTTGATATCTTACTAAGCTCAAATAGATATGGGTTTTGCGATCATTATAGACCTCATATTAGGTTATATGAATTTATTTATTTATTCTTATAACTTTTAACTTAAAATATTAATGTTAAGGATATCCATCTCCTTACACTCTTAGGTGTATAAAAATCTTCTAGGAACCTATTATATTGTCATTGCTATTAATATTGTGTATGAAATATTTATTCTTTATTAATATTATGTAATGAATATTTATCCCTTATTTAATGTTGTGTAAAATATATTTATCATTTATTAAAATTATTAGAAAGAAATGACTCTCTAATCCTCCACTCTAGCAAAAACGACAAGATTTAGAGGCTATAAACACCTCCTAAAACACCTAGGTAATGAGGTCAAAATCTTTATTCTTCACTGCATATATATTTATCTTTCTCTAAATTATTGTTGTCTTATTTTTTAAAAAAATACTTATTTAAACATTTAAAAATTTTCATGTTTAGTACATAAGATTTTTTGTAGGTATTCACTATCACCTTAACTTACCAAACACTAGTCATCTTAACACAAAAAAAATAAATAAATCAAATTATTAAAATAAAAAAAGTTAATTATTTTTTATTTGTTTTAGTCTTATTTTCGTCTTATTTTAGTCTCTACATATAAATAAAAAATAAGGAAGAAAGTAATAAAAGAGAGTTGACAAACAACCACTTTACAATAAAAAAACTCATTTGTTCTTGGTATTGATGAATTTTGTTTAGTTTTTTTCCCTTTATCTTGTTGAAAAAAATATATCAGTCATCAATTTTTTTTAATTGAATTGATTATTCAGTTTTAGCTAATAAAATGGTTATTCAATACTACAAATGAGTTTTTTAAGATCCAGCGGTGTTTCTTAGATGTTCTTAGATGTTTTCAATTGAAAAGAAGGTTAAATGAGTCATCGCCTACTCTTTTCTTTTTTTATCATAGGAGAATGATGATAAAAGACCTGCTTCGATGGAAGAATCAAGAGAGATCGAAGGAGGAGAGCAAGGACTAAAAACTAAAGCAAGGATTACAGGATAGAGTTGTCAAATAAAGCCAGGCAACTCCAGAATATGAACTCACCATTGGTAAATGTTTCACCTTCAACCATGGCACCAGGTCCGTCATTGCCTGTCAGACAATTAGACTAGATTTAGGGGATCTCTTAGGATGAAAATTCAACAGCATACGAAAAAGATCATCAACTAAACTAGGTGGAAGCTTTGCAGCCGGGAAATTCAGTTCATCTGTGAAATATACAAATATGATGCATTTCGAGGATTCCATCTGTAAATCCTGGAATAATACATAATAGGTAAATGAATTTTTTTACAACATTAGAAAAATTAAAATGGATTAACAATAGGGAAAAAGAAACAAAAAAGGGAGAATAATGGATCCAAATAGTTCAGATCGAGGCTTTGTTGAATTCATTTGAGTTTGTAGCTTGATCTCCAATCATTAATAGAGCTGAGAGAAATTAGTCCAGAACCGGCTCCTAAAGAATAATGGACCCAAATAGTTCAGATCGAGGCTTTGTTAATGATAGACTGCTGCTGCTGCCCATGACTAGCCTCGAGTCATTGGTTCAATGCACAGTGCAGAGGTAAATACTGAACCGTATACAAAAAAATTCCGTCTTTAACTCCTTGGAACTTAAAACAAATGAAAAAAAGAAGAAGAGTAAAACAATAAGATGATGTTGTCAAGAGATACTTACGATTGTGTAAAATTAATGGTTCAGAATGAAACAGTCCCCACACCATGCCCGACAAAACGCTCCACGACGCCTAAACCATATTTTTCAGCATGCTCGCTGAGACAATAATCCAAGCATTGTGTTATAAAAGGTTTCAGCCACCATGAAATAACAAAATATACAAGAACGAATTTTTTATCCTAACCACCTATGGGATTGGTCACAAATAAGTTAAGGTGATATTTTAGCAAAAACATCTACGCAAAATCTGTTGTTATACCATTAATGATTGATAAAAATAGTATTGATGAATGAAATTGATCAGCCAGTAACTTCACAACTTTTGAGTTTTTCATAAATCTCCATACAGCTTCCATCTCCTATCCGAATAAACCTGTTACAGTTGATCAATCTGAACCCAACCATAACACTCCGTAACAAACCATCCGATCTGAAGAAAAGTATATTTAGGTATTGCTGTTTTATTTGAGTATCAAGCTCTGAGAATGAACACCCCACCATGACTCTGATGTAGTACCACAGCCACAATAAAATTGTTCTCTTCTGAATCCAAGAAAAACAAGAAAAGGATAAATAATACCATATTCTCCTTCCAATTTTCTTGAAACTGGCACCATTTTGCAAACAGCTATCCCTCTTTCCAAAAATTCCTCAGTCAACTGCAGCAAGAGGTATAAATGATGCCTGAATAACATTTCCAGCGAATGCAAAACAGGAAGGAAAAAAAAAAAGGTATATCTATTATAGCATCTCCATAAAGGGATGTGCAAACTTCTTTGACAGAAATGGCAAAGCAAGAATCAGTTGCCATTGTCCAACTTTAAAGACTTAATAAAGATAGACAAATAACCATAATCACAATTTGCAAAGCTATCAACAAAGAGAAATAGGTGATATTCTTACCTTTACAAAACATAATTTACCTTCACAAGACGCTTAATTCCATCGCTGATATTCCCACAGAAATGTTTTTGAAGTGTCTCCATGATAAAGAACCAACCTCATTGATGATAAAATAATGAACCAGGAACTTACATTTAAGTTCTAAAATGATGAATCAGGAACCTGCATTTAAGAAGACAGTAACATCAATGTAATGTTTATCATTTCATCATCCTGCACAGAGACAATTATTTAGCAACGATCTACATGCGTGTCATACAAGCAGCAACAAACAGACCTGTAGCTGACGGGAGTTAGGTATTCCATGACACATGCACTCATTAACTGATGTGCAGTCTCTTTTGGAATCCTCCATAACCAAGAGGTGAAGGATAAGCACCAGTATCACCAGCACCGATGATCATTTGGCACACTGCTTTGTCAATCTCGTTCGTACATAACTGATGGCTGATAGAGATGTACAAACAAGAAAAGGCCATATCAAAACCATAGAATCTTACAAATCTCAGGTATCACTAAGAATAAACAGACCGAAAAGATAACACACACACACACACACACTATGATAAAAATAAATAAAATCCTCCAAAATTATATAAAAAAGGAACCATTTCTTAAAGAAATGTCAGGGGAAAATGCGAGCTTTTATTTCCCTGTTCCAGTTCTATTATACCTTAAGAGCATAAAAGCAAGAGAACAATCCATTTCAATGCATGGAAGTTAGAGAATTTCTGTTCACAGGAACAACAAAACTTCGAAAGTGTTCAAGGGAGAGCAAGTGGAAAGATTAAAATACATGCCTGCCCTAAATAAGATAACTACACTATGTTATCCGAGGATCGGAATCCTACTTCTTAAAAGCCTTTATGAGTACATTTCTTCCCAGAAGCAAAAATTAAATTTGGAAACTGTAGATCAGAGTTGCAAAAGTGTTTGCGTTGCTGAGCAGGCATAAAGTCATTTACGATAAATTCCCATCAAAACATGCTCATTCATAACACCTAGAAAACAAGTCAATTGACAATTGGCCACACCAGTCAAGGAAACGCTTTGACTGTTCCATGACAGTTGAAGAAATTTGTTATTATGAATTGATGGATAGAAATTTGCTTTCCAGAAAATGATTCGTCCAGCGTGACAAGCATATGAAAACTGGAAACACCCTGCAGCCGACACAATGCATCAGAAATGCTAACAGATTAAATTTTGAAGTAAGAAAAATCAACTAAAATTCTAAATACAGTAAGAAATGGGACATTTTGATCCAACACCAAAATTCACCATGCAAGCATAGCGACGACAAACCTAAAAAACTCTAGCCTTGCATCATAGAAAATGTTCACTAGCATAAAAAATGGATCCCATCCCAAGCGAATCTATTTAATATTGTATAACTAAATAACAAAACATAGACCATAGACTTAAACAGTACTAGACAAGCCGTCTTGTATATAGTCTTAAATTTACCAGCATTCTCCAAAAACGTGAGCAGCAAGCTCGCAAGCAGCCCTCATTTTAACAATCCATTCAGAGTCATGAATCTGATGCTCACTTGAAATCTCTGGCAGCTCATTTGATGGAGGCTTTGGAATATCAACAGGCACTGACAACCGTGGCGATACGCTTGCCCGCCTCAATGGCGGCCTTTTTCTAAACTAAGTCGTCTTTTGAAGCTCTTGTTCTCTACGGAAATTAAATAAAACACAGCAAAACCAATCAAGAAAGCAAGCAAATAATCATAACACAGTTAACACTTCAAATTCTAAATGGTGTACCTCCTGGTTCTCATGGCCTCTTCTAGAGGTGAAACTCTCTTTGAGAACACAACGAGTCGTCTGAGATTTTGTGTTTTTTTCCTGGATTTAGTGATTTGAAAAGGTATTTAGAAGGAGTACATCTTTGTAGAGTGAAGTTAGTACAAATGAATCTAAGTTTGAGGATTTTACAGGTTGAGGGAGAAAAGGAAAGCGGGCCCCCCTGAAAAGAGTTGGATTTGACCATGATGATGATGAGGAGGAGGAAAGTTGCAGAGAAGGAGGAGGGAAAGAGAGTAGCAGCAAAACCCATTCTCTCTACAGCGGTCAGAGAGCGTGGAGAGAGAAATCAAGACAAACCTGGGAGGGAGAGACAGTGGAGCTGGGTTATGGGTTAATGGGTCAGATGGTTGGTCTTTTAAGCCATTTTGATATGGTCTGATCCAGTTTTGGGTCTTTTGTTATTAGGCCCATATGTGCGATATTTGGATACCTTCAACCATGAAAATCTGCGAGCTAACCTGGCCAAGTTATAGATAATGGGTTGAAGCCCAGGTGTGGCTGCATTTAGATAGTTTTTGTTTTTGTTTTTGTTTTTTTTTTTTTGTTGTTCTTCACGAGGTCAACTGTACTTTCGTCTCCTGCCTCTGAATTGCTGGATTGAAGTTCAAGGTTGCAGACTTTGAATCCGATACCTTCAACCAAGATTCTTAAGTCTTAACTCCCTTAGGACCTTCCTTTCCCATTTTTTTGAATGAAAATGTGTCAATAGCAAATGCAAAGAAATTCCACTTAGTAGCATTCGATACAAGATGACAAGTGTAGTTTCATTGAGTTTTCTTCTCTCTTTTGTGTTGGTGCAAGATTTTTGCAGTTTACTTCACTAACCGCACTAGTCAGGCCAGCAAAAGCAGAAATATGTATTTTTTAATTGTTCGGGCATGGTATAAAAGAAATTTCTCGAGTGATTTCTATGCTATGATAGAAACGCAAGTATAGAAAATGAGACTTGTCATTTATGTTTGTAGACAGTCCATGTCTCAACTTTCGTTGGCCTCTTCAGACAAAGTCTTGGGATTGATTGTAGAAATTAATGAGTGCAGCTACGTGCCAAAAAAAACCAACAATTCCGAGACTAAAATCTTTTAGATTCCCAGTCAATTATGGCAAGATTATTTTTGAAGACATATTTCAACAACCATGGGTAAATTAGCCAAAAAGAATTTGAATTTTTCAACTACATTTAATGATGACAAGACAGTCACGAATGTTTGGCTTTCCATGTCCATATCTGAAAGAAAAGTCGAAGAAGAAAATCGAATCCGTCAGGTATGGGAGGAAAACTATGGTTGCCGCTAATATCCAGCATGGTTGAATGCCACTTTTCTAAAGTTGATTCCCTTTGTGAAGCCACCAAAACTAACCTCAGTGCAAGTGGTAAGGGGGAGCCTCTAAGAATACGTACTGGAGATTCAGAATAGAGAAATAAATATATATATATATATATATATATATATATATATATTCCTTAACTTCAAGTCTTATTTCTAGATTAATTTTAATTGGGTTTGGTAATTGCTCCGGTTCCATGTTAACCTCAGTGCAAGTGGCAAGGGGGAGCCTCTAAGGATACGTGCTGGCGTTTCAGAATAGAGAAATATATGTATATTCCTAAGTTGAAGTCTTATTTCTAGATTAATTTTAATTGGGTTTGGTAATTGCTCTGGTTCCATGTTAATCCGTGAAAAAAGAAGAGCAACCCTTGGTTCAGTTTTCCTCATGATGTTACATAAATTTGTGGAGCTAGCTAGTTGCGGATTTATTGATTTGAGATTCATGAGCTTGCAAGAAATTAGCTGAATCACATATTTCCGGAACGTGGGAAGAAAATGGCAGGAAAATACTAATCCTGCCAGAGGAAACTGCAAGCAGATTAGCATGATCTTTAGCTGTAAGAAGACTTGGAATCAAATCTGACTATTATCTTTGAAATTCTTAATTAAGTTATGGAAATGTCAATGATATTGCGTGGTTCAGAGGTTGTTTTGCATAAAAGTACGTATACCATTTATTTCTTTTAAAAATCCCAGCTTTGACTACAATATTATTGTCGACATTACTCATGATTTGACATTTTGCAACACATTAGCAATGTCAAAGCTCTTCTTTAATTACAGAGACCTTAACAAATCAATGGGCTGGGCCAATATTGAGGGGTTTAAGCTGCCATCTTCGAACAAATATTAATATGCCAAAATCAGGGTAAAGGTTGGGATTTGAAAGGAATTATACACTCAATTTGTCACCCTTATTCTGCCTAATGCCACACCCTATATCCGCCTGGTGAGAGGGGAGACCTTGAATGTACAGATCATGCACAATAATCCCAATACTGCTGGCCTGTTTTAGATCATGAATCTGGGTTATAAAAAATGCGTTGCAATCCATTAGGAGCACCTTCTCAATAACTCCTGTCCTTGTCATGAATATGTGATTTCTCGAGCGTGTACAAAACAAGAGCCGTGTTAATTTTTTATTTAGAATGCTTTGTAATTGTGTTTTAAAAAAAAATTGAATTTTTCATTTTAAATTAATATATTTTTAAATAATTTGATATGCTAATGTGAAAATTTATTTTTAAAAAATAAAAAAATATTATTTTAATATATTTTATAATAAAAAACAACCGCTATTATATTCTCAAATACTTTTAAGAGATTTTGCATTGCGATAATACAGCTATATTTTTTTAAAAGTTAGAGTTTTTTATTTTAAATTGATATTTTTTAATATTTTATTATTATTTTAATAAAATAATATCAAAAATAAAAATAAAAGATATTATTTTAATGTATTTACAATTAAAAAATATCTTAGAAAACAATATCTCACTTTTACTTTTAAATAGACTATAAATCAAATTGGTTTAACTATATTTGATTTTTGAAATACCCGACTGTAATGAATTTCATCCAGTCAAAATATTTATGATCAGATCTTTTATATATTAATCAGATTAGCGTTTTCTGAAATTGGGAGCCAGAATTTTGAGCTACATGGTTCTCAAAGTTTTGATTCATGACATTTTTTTTTTATTTGTCATTATTACGAGGGGGAAAAATCAAAATCAATGTTTTTGAATTTCTAAAACACTTAAGAAATCATAATATAGGATACTACACAAAGCAGGCTCAACGAAATTGAAATAGCTGCAATCATGTTTGAAACAAAATAAAACATCACCCTCAAAATCTCCGCAATGCTTCCAGAAAAGCATATGTTCCACAAGTAAAAGGTTTTGCCGCGCTCGCCAGCTTAGTTGCCTTTCCTGGCAAATCAAAGATGAGTTGTCTTCTACTTGTTCCACAAATCTCCGTCATTTTTTTGTGCCACAAAGGCAGGCTAGAAGCGTGTGTGAACATGTAATGAGATTAGGGGTGAAGCGGAACACTTTTTAATCTCGACAAGATGTGACAATGATAATCAGCCAATTAGCCTGAGATTTTTTGAGGATAAAGGTGATATCCACACCTGTTCTCTCTCTCATGTCTCATGAAGCCCGTATATATATATATATATATATATAAGGCAATGTGAACAGAAACAGATTTACAGTTATCCATTTCTAAACTTCTTTCTTTAAAACTTGATGGTGCCTAATTTCAAGCTTTATTCAGCTTTTTGTCTTGTAATTATAATATAATATACAATTAGCCTTTTGCAACTTGCAGCAGCAGCGGCTACACCTCCTGACCCACCCCCCCTCATTCTCCCCCTAGCCTTCCTAAAATTCACAAAATGCCAAGAAGAGAAAAACACAAAGTAAAACCAAGAAACTAAAAACGAAATTACAAAATGTTACAAGGCTCCAACGATCCTTCGTTTCTTACTATACTGATGATCTATTGACAAAAGCTCCATATCCCTCATTGATCTCTTCCCATCACACCCATTTTCCATCCCAGGTACATTAAAAATGTTAACCCCGAACAACCTCACCATCTGAACCGGTTGGACCTGGTTGGACCCGCTTCTTGCTTTCCAATCAATGTAAAGCTGCTTATCAGGTCCAGTTGATCTTTGAAAGCAAACAATGTCACCAGCTTTCAAGCTCTTCTCTTTTACAAACCGGCTCCACCCTTTGGTCAAAACATAACTCTGGCTACTATTCCAATAAGAATAACGAAACCTCCACACTTTGCCGCTCACATCTTCCAAGTTAAGCAATACACCTTTAGTACTATTGCTTGATGTACTTTGCAAAGGAAAATGCTTTTCCGCATGTTGTTTTGGTATCACAAGCCGATTCAATTTCCCAACATCACTCGGAGTCACAGCTTTCTCAAAAAGCTGTTCACGCGCTTTCAACACCCGACCACAACCATGATCATAACTATTATTCTCGTAGTTTGCTGTATTCTTGTATTGCTTCCCATTTACCCCATTGTTACTCCTGTGGTTCCTTTTGCTTTGCTCTAGCTCATCGCTGTACGTATGTTTCCTCAACATGTCAACGATTTCAGCTTTCGAATGAGCGTTCAGGAAAGCAGCCTCTATTTCATCATCTTCGGTCTCATTAACTTGCTTGAAGTTAGTCACGGCATCCCTTCCACGGAATCTCCGAGCAGCAATATCATAGGCTCTTGCTGCTTCATTTTCTTCATTGAACGTCCCGAGCCACACACGCTGGTGCTTCTCGTAAATCTGTGCACCCCAGCGACCATTTGGTTGGGGTACAACACCTTTGTATTTAGAAGAAGGGAGTTTTCTCGATTCAGCTTCGACACCTGATTCCGAATCAAGAATAACACTACTATTGCCGCTCCCAACACGGCAAAGTGACTCAGGTGGTGATTTTGTAGTGGTAGCAGTTGGTGGGAAGGGAGGGATGGAGGTTGGTGTAACGGATATGGAGTTATCAGTACTACTAGTTCTGCTTTCATCCATGCAGCTTCCATCCATTTTTTTTTTCCCTGTTGTTGTTGTAGTTGTTCTAAAAGAGGGAGGAGCAAGAGAGAAGGAAAAGGAGAGAGAGAGAGAGAGAGAGAGATGAGGTGTTTTTGTTGACAAAGAGAGAGGCATGAATTGGGTTGTGTAGGAGGATTAGAGATTATATATATAGAGATGCTAGAGGAGTGGGTTGGCTAGTTAATTGTTTATTACTCTTATTTTATGAGTTAAAGAAATTAGGGTGGGGTGGGTTTGGGCGGGTGTAGTTTAGGAAGATAGGGGTGGGGGGCGTTGGGTCAACCCAAGATGGTGGTAAGTCACGAGGAAGATTCATTCATGCTAGAGGAGCTTTAGGTTTAGGGTCATGACCAAGTATGTGCGTGTTGTGGGCTGCGTATAATGTAGAGTGGGACCCATGCCAACCAGTTGATGGGGCTCACATGATTGGGGACCGTGTTTTTAGTTGAGTTCATTCCCCCTGAGCTTCGCTGCTACTGCTGACCACCAA